AAAAAAAAAAAAAAAAAAAAAAACCCCAAACACAAAAAACCTCCACCAGGAGGTGGTGCTACAGCATTGTGAAGGCGAAGTACAGTTCAGCCCTTCAAATAAAAACAGGAAGCCTTCTTTCCTTAGAGAAAATGGTAATAAACTACATTGGGAATTTCAAGCAGCAAATTCTGAGTTTTCCAAGTTTGGCAAAAAATACCAGCTAGTCTAGATCTCTATCCATCAGGATATGTCCCATGTCCCCCAAGTGGTCAAGGCACTTGAAGCAGGATTACCACTTCATAAATTCACTCCTTCCTTTCCATTTCAACAGCTTCACTCTGATTCCAGCTTACACGTCTCATGCCAAGTCTACTGCAACAGCCTACTAGGTAGTACATCTAGTTCTTTAACCCTCCAAATATATCTCCTACTTTGCTACCAGATATTTTGCCTGATGCCACCTTTTCAGCTCACCTCTACTTGGGATTCTTAGCTTGGCACTTAAAAAATCAACATATTTAAAATTAAAATCATCATATCATCACCTTACCCAAACCTAGGCCTATTTACTACCCCAGTCCCCCCATGATGGCAGCACCACCTTTTGAGTTGCAAAGTTGAGAAATCTTACAATCATCTTTCATTTCCTCTTTCCTTCATCCCACTATGCAATCAGCAATAAAAGCCTTCCTTCAAAATGAACTTCTAAATCAACCCTCTCCTTTCTGTGAGCACTGCAACCATCACCAGACCTCAACTAGACTGCTCTTCTTTAAACCCCTGCTCTGCTGTCTCCTTATCTGCTATTTCACACACTGCCTTGAATTCCCTCATTCTTTATTTTGAACACATGTAAAACTTACCTTCTACCTAAAACATCCAGCTCTAACTTTTCAACAAAGTCCGGCCGTTTTCTATAGTCCTACTCTCCACTGTTCCCCCAAACAGATTCTATTTCAGATCTAATAAGGTCACTTTCTTATATCGGACTTAAACATCATGCCTATGCTGATATTTTTAAATTAGTTCGTACTAGTACCAGGTGTGGTGGCATATGCCTGTAATCCCAGCACTAGAGAGGCTGAGGCAGGATTGGTATGAGCTCAAGGCCAGCCTGGGCTACATAGTGAGTTTCAGGCCAGCCCAAACTACACAGTGAGACTCTGTCTCCTCAAAAAAAAAAAAAAAAAAAAAAAATTAGTTCACACTTTTCTAAGCAAAATGATTTGACTCATCTTGTCTTTAAACTTTTGACTGTAAATCTAAATGGAAGGCCAGGGATGTAGCTCAGCAGCATAGCACTTGCCTGGCAAGTTCAAGGCCCTGAGTTCAATTCTCCATTCCTCCCAAAAAAGAAAATCAAAATGGAGAATAAAACTCTCAGTACAAAATAATGTTCCTTATCACTGAATTCCTTCAGTGCTTATTCTCAGCCTCTCATTTATTCTCTTCCCCTTTCCTCAAGGTCAGTTTCACCTGTCCAACATTATTCCAAAATTTTAAATCATTTGGTGAATCCTGCTTTCATTAATAAGCTCTTCAACTAGTTAGAATTAAGTCTTAAATATCTTTGTACCTCTTTATTTCCAATGGTACCTGGAAAGGGGATTTGATAATGGCTCAGGAAATACCTGCTGATTAATCTCATAAAGGGACAGGTACTTTCCATACCTGGTACCCAGATAGGAATTTTAGGTGTCTACAGCTTTAACATATTCAGTATAAAAACGTACTGGAATTTTGAATAGAGATCATTAGATGATGCAATACATATGAAAATAAACCTACCAACTTGTTCCTGAGTCACTGTCACTGTTGGAAGAGAAGTGATCTTTTCCTTGTCAGCTGGAGGAGGTCCTGTGTTTTCCAGTTGTCCTAAAAGCTACAAGAAAAGAAGAAAAAGAAATAGCAGATATCTCAACATCCCTGGAAAGGGTGCCGCTCCAGCTGAGAACAAACATCGCAGGTATTAGAAATGTTAGTTGCTCTTACTTCTGCAAAACTCTTGAGAGGCTTAGATGTTCCCTTTCCTGATATCAGAACACTTAAAATCCTTTACAATTTCAGAGTGACATTAGTGTAAGTCTACAGACAGACCCATGATTGTAAGACCCACCTTTGGGGATAAAGCAACTTCAGGGTGGTAAAGAGTTGTGATGTCATGAATAAAACTATGGCTTTGTAAAAAGTAATACTTAACTGGTACAAATATTTATTTCTGCCAGAAGTAGAAAAGGGTGGGAGTAGAGGGAGTAGCATAGGATAAGTCAAGAAACAGAAAATTACTGCCTACAAGAAGAGTTGGATATAAATGACATGCTTTCTGTGCTCAACAATCTATACGGGAAATGAGAAATCAATCAAATGAAAATGAACATAAGCAAGTAGAAACAATTATGCATGGCATGGGAATACCTTTTTCTCTGCTTCCTTCCCCTACTTCACTCTATCTAGCAGAAATCCCTGCTTCAACATGTGAGACCCTTCTTTTTTTTATATAAAGTACTTATTTACAGGATCCTCAGAGAATTGAACAAGAGGCCCAAAACACAATATACTGCTTGTTCCAGAAGTCTTTACTTTGTCTAGGGTGAAAAGTGTTCTAGAAATCCCTTGGACATAGTGGATACAGGAATACTAAACTAAACCCATAAACCATGTATCCTTTTAGTAAAATGGAAACCCAAAAGCTGAAAATGTTAGAGAAAGCAGAGTGACTGCAATTTCAAGAAAGTAGCAGAAGGAAAGCAGGAAGCCTGTGGAACCATGAGACACACTGAACAGAAACCCTCAAAAGGCAGCTCCTCACCTGGGTTATAATGGCATCAAGCCCTGTCTGACCCCAGGCATAGTCCCCGGGGTTGGAGTGCAGCATCCCGCTCCTATACGTGAGATGAGACAGACAGCATTAGATGGAGTGACCAGGCTCTGCCTTGTATCATAGAAAAAGCTGGCAGAGGGATCACGTTCTCTCTCAGGGCTTCCAAGTCACTAGAATCAAGAGGCAAAGAATTTCTCTGTATTTTCAAGGTCAAACATCTAGAGACAGCTTCTCATTGTCTATGAATTTTACTTAAGCAGAACATAAAATGAGGAGCTACCTAAAATACCACATGACACATAAGAGGAAAAAGAGTGACTTGTTGCCTGTTGGTTAAGTTTCTTTTCTCTGCACACTACATCAAACATAAATGGAGCTGCTTTTTAAGGAAGAGATTTTCCTTCATGGCTGGCCAAAATCTATAGCAGATTTCCCTCATGCAAAGAGGCTGCCTCACAGTACTGGACAATGGAAAACGTTCCAGTAGAGAAGCAGCCATAGCAGTCTCTCTGAATCACAATTCAGCAATTACAAAAGGGAGCCTGGCAGCACCTTTTTCTTGACGTTGCTGGTGCAGAACCCTGGATGACGGATGTCCAGTCTCTGGTCGCAACACAAAGGAGACAGGTTGGGAAATGGGGTAAGTGTGGGGAAGGACTGAGGTCCCTCTGAGCGAAGAAGCTGGCATTAATTATCAGAACCGGCATTAACTGTCCAGACAAGAAGAAATTCCATCTTTAAACCCTACTCTACTTACGTGTCACTCTGATACTAAGTTATAGCCTTTTGCTTCTACTGAAAAACCTTACTTTGGAAAAAGAAAGTCAAGTATGTTGTTTTCAACTTCAGAAATTGTTTGTTTGCCATGCTGGGGATCAAACCCAGGGCTTTATGCACGCTAGGTAAGCTCTCTACCACTGAGCTATACACATCCCCAGCCCTCCACTTCACAACATTTTAAGGAATAAAATCTCCCCATATGGTCTAAAGGAGAAACTCACAAATTAGATACCAAGCCTATCGGGTATTTTCTCATTCCCTGTCTCAACACAACACTCAGATCACAATATGAAGGGTAGGGAGGGTGGGGTGGGCAAGGACAGTCCTCCAAAGCCTGAACAATAAAAAACAAAGTTCTGATTAAGTTTGAGCTCAGCAGACAATGGCAGTATAACAAGCTTCCAGTTATACCCACATACTCACCTACTCAGCCTTTTCTCTACAGCACAGAAAGGCTAGCACCTAAAATGATGCTACTCCAGCAGAGTAACTTAGGTAACAATTAGCTACTTACCAAGAAAAGGGGTGTGAGGATCCAGGAATTGCAGAATTTGCAAAGAATCCTGCAAAGATCTGTTGTATTATTCTGTTCGAGTAGAAAAAAAATTAGATAAGACAACAAAAGACAGCAGATATCCACGGTATCAAGTACTTCTCCAACCACAATGGCTTCCCACTTTTACACAAGGAGTAGCACCAGAAATCAGTCTACTGCCTAGTGCTGTGAGAGTGTGCTATAATGTTTATCTTTGTGAGCTTTGCCATAGTATGGATTAAAAGTTTTTGTTAATTAGGCTGGAAGGAATCTGATGCCACAGTACATTTTTCAAATTAGGTTCCTCAGCTCTCTGGCACAAATATAAGTAGGGCTTAAAAGAGATGCTGAGCCAGTGGGATTCTAGGTTACATTTTTGTATAGTGCTTAAAGAATTTTTTTATAATATGAGAAGAATTCTATTCTAAAGCTGTTTCAGATGACTATAACACACATAAAACAAACACACACAGATACACATGCTTGGCACTTCTCATTCTGAACATTTAAGATGGGACATGTACCCCCTTCTTTATCCTGATGAGATGGGTCTTTGTTTGCCTTTCAAAGAGATACTGGATTAATGTATTTCCTGTGTTCTGAATGATATGCATTTATAACTCCCCGATTTCTACTTTATTAGGTCAATCAATGTAACTTTAATGGTATTAGACTTTCCCTGCTACTAAAGTTCAACAATAGTTAAGTGTATTATTTTCTCTGTGGTTTTCTGCTTTTGTTTTTGTTTTTCCAGTATTGGGGATTGAACTCTGGACCTTGTGTTTGCAAGGCAAGTGTGATGCAACTGAGCTAAATCCCCAGCCCTCTTTGGTATTTTGTGGGGTTTTTTGTATTGTGTTTTCATTGCTTATTTATTACTATTATTATTTTTGGTACCAGGGATGGAACTCAGGTCCTTGCACTTACAGGGCAGACAGAGGAACCACTGAGGTAAATCCCAGACCCAGCATTGCTTATTTTTTAATTGGCAAAATTTTAAAAATATGTATTTTTGGTTGTAAAACATGATGTTTGGAAATACACATACATTGTGGAATGGCTAATAAAGAACACTTTAAATCTATTCTTGCAGCAAAATTTCCCCCTAGTACTAGAGATTGAACCCAGAGCCTTCACAATGAGCTTCATCTTCAGCTCTTTTTTATTTTGAGACAGGGTCTTGCTTAGCCAGGCTAGGCTTTGACCGTGCAATGTTCCTGCCTCAGCCACCCGCAGCACTGAGATTATAGGCATGTGTCACCATGCCCAGCTCTCCTAGCAATTTTTAAGAGTACTACATGTTGTTATTAACAAGTTACCACAATGTACAATAGACCTCTTGGATGTATTCTAACTAAAATATTATATCCTTTGACCATCACCTCCTCAACTCATTCTTGTAGACCCAGCCCTTGATAAACACTATTCTGTTCTCTTCTCGGAGTTTAATTTTTTTTAAAAAAGAATTCCTTATGTTTTAAAATACACCCCAAAATTATTTGATAACCCTCCCTTGAGTGTGAGCTGGATTTAGTGACTCACTTCTTAAGAAAAGAATATGGCAGACACAATGATCTGTGGCAACCAAAACAAGGCCAAAAAAAGTACCGTGGCTCGCTTCTTATACTTCTCCTAGGAAAGTGCCATTATCAGGCAGTTCTATCGAAAGGTCCACGTGATGAAGAACTGGGAACTCCTGACAAAGCCAGAACTTGTCAGAATATGAACTGTAGTGAATCCTGCAGATCACCACTGCAATGGCCAACATCTTGACTCTTGAGACCTTGAGCCAGAGCCACCTAGCTAAACTATTAAATTTCTGACCCACTGAATTTGTGACATAATAAATGCTTGCTTTTTAAACTCACTAAACTCTGAGGTAATTTGTTATACACTAATAGTTAACTACTACAGATTTGGATATTGGGAAGTAGGCACTGCCATAACAAAAACCTAAAATGTGGGATTATCTTTGGAACACCACGGCAGGCAGAAGGTGGAAAGACTCTGAGGAAAGCATCAGAGAAAACATTTGAAGAAGAAAAAACAGTTATGACAGCCCAAGTGTGGTGGTGCACACCTGTAAATCCCAGCTATTTTAAGACTTGAATAAACTAAAGTGACTCCATGCTAGTAGGCCAGACTGTGCTTCTTCATATGCTAATTGCTACCTTGGTTAACAGCCCACCCAGGGGCAAATGGTATGACAAAAGGTGACCATAGAACATTTCCTGCATAAGATAAGCAAAGTGTTTGCAGTCTTATTCAGTGAATTTCCTGACTCTTTGTTTAGAAAAACCTTATAAAAAGTACCTTAGCCCCTGAGCAGTTGCCTCTCTGAGCTACCTGGCTCCGGGAGTGCCGTCTGGCCAGACTAATAAAGGTCCATTTACCGTCTAGCCTGTTATGTTCCTTCCTGGGTTTCTCGTTTCTCCGTCAATCTCCCGGAGCCTCGCTGGGTGTTAGGGCCCAGCATCGTGGAGGCCTTTTTGGCTGTTCACCCTCGGTGGAGTGGAAGTGAGACTTTAAGTATTACACTATTAAGGAGGCTGAGGCAGAAGGATTGTAAATTTGAAGACAGCCTGGACAACTTAGTGACACCCTACCTCAAAATAAAGTTTTAAAAGTGCTGGGAATGTAGCTTAATGGTACAGCACTTATCTAGCATGCTCAATCAAGATCCTGGGCTTAACACCCAGCACTGTAAAATAAAACAAAACAAAATAGTTCAAGGGTCTAAGGATGTAGCTCAGTGGTAGAGCACTTGCCTAGTATGTGTGAGACCTTGAGTTTAATCCCAAACTACCCCACAAACAAACAAAATACAACAACCACAATAACAAACAACAGTAGAAGCACAGTGGCCTTTAAGGAAGTTATCGATGAGAGCTAACCCAAATGCTAGAAAAATCTTAACTGGAAACTAGAAGGACAAGGATCCTTGCAAATTGTCTCAATTCACCAATCAAAAGAGATAAATTAGAATGGATCAAGAAATAAGATCTAACAATATGCTGCATAAAAGAAACGCGTTTAAGTAAAAAAGAAATTCACAGACTGAAACTCAAAGGATGGAAAACAATAGTCCATGTGACAGGAATCTGGAAGAAAGCAGGGGGAGCTATTCTACTTGTAGACAAAGTGGTTATCAAGCCAAGACTTATCAGAAGAGACAAAGAAGGTCACTGCATACTTGTTAAGGGAACAATCCAAGAGGAAGAGATTACAATCACAAATATATATGCACTAAAAACCACCACACCCAATTACACAAAACAAACATTAACAGACTTGAAAAATCAAATAAGCACTAATACAATTGTAATGGGAACCTCCACATCCCACCATCATAAATAGAAAGACAAAAAACTCAACAAAGAAATATCAGAACTGAACCAAATCTTTGAAGAATGGACTTAGTAGACAGAGCATTCTACCTCACAACCACAGAATACACATTCTTCCCAGCTACACATGAGACATTCTCCAAAAGAGATCACATACTAGCCCACAGAACATGCTTAAGTATGCAAGGGAACCAAAATTATCCCATGCATATTATCAGACCATAATGCAATAAAATTGGAAATCAAATGTGGGACTGCATAACTTTGTAATCTTAAATCCTAGTCTCAACTGTGATTAATGTAAATTAACAGGTGAACATTTAGTAGTTCTGGGTAAATAGATAAAGATTGTTTCACTCCTTGTCTGCCCGGAAGGAATGTTTTGAAAACCTTGGGAAATTATGTAAGCATCTTGAGCACAGACCCCCACCCTGCCTTATAAAAAGGACCTCAGCCCCTGAGCTGGCTCCTCTCGGGGCTACTTGGCTCTGGAGTGCCCTCTGTCCAGACTAATAAAGGTCTGTTTTCCAACTAGTCCGGTGTGTTCCTTCCTGGGTGACTCTCACGGCTCATCAAGCTCCTGGAGCAATCACCGAGGTATACGTCCAAGCATTGTGGAGGCCCAGTAAGGCCCTGGGTCTTGCGTCCCGAGCCCTCGTTGGGCTATAGGACTCAACATCGTGGAGGCCTTTCGGCTGTTTACACTCCACCGAGTGGAAGTGAGACTTTAGGTCTTACACAATGGCAAAAAAAAAAAAAAAAAAAAAAAAAACAAAACCCACAAAACTGCAAACACAGTGCTCACTTCAGCAGCACATATACTAAAAACTGCACTCCCAGCACTCGGGAGGCTGAAGCAGGAGGATCGCTGTGAGTTTGAGACCAGCCTGGGCTACATAGTGAGTTTCAGGTCAGTCTCAACTACATAGTGAGACCCTGTCTCAAAAAACAAAACAAAACAAAACAAAACACCCATAATGTCAATACAACATCCTAGAACTTATGGGATGCAATGAAAGCAGTCCTACCAGGAAAATTTATAGCATGAATTCCTACATCAGAAAAACAGAATGAGCTCAAATAAACAACCTAATGTTGAACCTCAAGCTTCTAGAAAAAGAAGAGCAAGTTAGACCCAAAGCATTTATGAGGGAGGAAATTACAAAAATTAGAGCAGAAATTAATGCAATGGAGACCAATAATGCAAAGAATTAACAAATCAAAGGGCTGATTCATTGAAAGAGTAAAGAAAAAAGTCTTAGCAAACTTTATTTTAAAAAAGGAAAGAAGACTCAACTCAGTGCAATTAGGAATGAAAAAGGTAAAATCACAACAGATCCTGAAGAAATCCAGAAGATCATCAATACCTACTTTGAGAATCTTTAATCAGATGGAAAATGCAGAAGAAATGAACATTCTTTGATATATATGAACTACCAAAGCTGAATCAAGAAGATATAAAAATTCTTAACCCAATATCAGTCAATGAAATTGAAGTAATTTTTAAAAAAACTACCAACAAAGAAAAGTCTAGGTTCTGATGAATTTACTGCTGAATTCCACAAGAAATACAGAGAAGATCTAATGTCATTACTCTTCAAACTTTTTAATGAAATTAAAAGGGAAGCAATATTTCCAAAGTCATTCCTGGAAGCTATCATTACCCTAACAGAGAAACCAAAGAAGGATCCAACCAAAAAAAAG